AATAGAACTTAATTTGTTCACAATTTTTTGGAAAATACTGAGTTCCTAAATTGATATCATTGTTATACTGCTGTATTCAGTAGGGAACACAATGATCTATAATTAGAATAGAATTATTGAGAATTATAATTATTAGGACTTTTGGGTTTAATGATTACGAGTTTGAATGAAAATTTTTAATTAATTTTGTTTATTTATCACTTAATTTTATTTAAAATAAACATATGTTGGTGATTTGTGGGCGCGGAACTCCCATAGAGTTTCAAGTTTCTTTGATCTTTTTAAACATAAAATATTGCTTTCAATACGCAATTTAAAAAGTATACTCTTAAAAGTATACGTTTACTTACTCGTATCTATAGATGGCATTAATTCTATTAATTGATCTATAGCTAAAACTATGGACTGATCTAAATTTAGTCAACACTATAGACAGATTTTTAGTCAAGACTAAAGACTGATCTTTAGTCAAGACTTTAGACTGGACTATAATCAAAACTGGTCTATTGATAAGACTTAAGGTAGCTCCACAGTCAATATTACATACTGATCGATGATCAAGACTAAATACCAGTCTAAACTAAAGATTGATCTACAGTATATAGACTATAGATTGATATATAGCCAAGATTATAGACTGGTCTATAATCAAGGCTATAAACTGGTCTATTGACAAGACTTCAGCCAGATCTACAGTCAAGGCTACCGACTAATCTGTAGTCTATAGACTGATTTATAGCCTATAGACTGATCTATAGTCTACAGACTATAGACTGATCTATAGTCTACAGACTATAGATTCATCTATAGTCAAGACTATAGACTGATCTATAGTCTACAGAATACAGATTGATCTATAGTTTACAGACCATAGATTGATCTATAGTCAAGACTGATCTGTAGTAAAGAATGTTCTACAGTCAAGACTACAGACTGATTGATTGTCAAGACTATAGACTGATTGATAGCCAAGACTACAGACTGATCGTTAGTCAAGACTATAGACTGATCTATATTCATGACTATAGTCTTACCTATAGCCAGGACTATAGACTGATATATAGCCAAGACTATAGACTAATCTATAGTCAATACTATAGACTGATCTATAGTCGAGACTATAGATCTATAGTCAAGATCATATACTGATTTAAAGTTGAGTCTATAGATTGATCTATATGACTATTGACTGATCTAAGGTCAATCTATAGACTGATCTATAGTTGAGTCTATAGACTGATCTGTAGTCGAGACTATAAACTGAATTATAGTCAAGATCTTTAGTCTAGACTATAGACTGATCTTTAGTCTAGACTATAGACTGATCTTTAGTCTAGACTATAGACTGATGTATAGTCAAGACTGTAGAGTGTTCAATTGTCATGACTGTAGACTGATTTATAGTCAAGACACAAAGAGGTTTTTTCCAAATACTCTGTTTGGGAACCGTTGCTTTAACTCAATTGTGTAAACTTTTCTGACTGACCATTATAAGTAACAATTCTAAGGACACTTAACATTCAAAACGTAATTGTTTTGCCATTTAAACTAAACTATTATTTACATTACACCTATTTGAGTAATTGTGACAGAGAAATTACTGCAGTATGATTATATTGTTTGTATATAAATAAAATATATTATAATAATTATATGTCTATAAATACAAGTCCAATAAGCAAAATCAAATGCAAATTATATTAAATAAATATTCAATATTTAACACTTCTCGTTCCATCAATATGTCGGTGAATATTTTAATAGTAAAACTGTCTGCTGCCTCATCTCTTCTCTAATCATCTTTAACAATCAATATTTTTTTTATATTTCTCACATCTTGTCTTAGTGAATGACCTTGTAAAAAAAAAAAACAAAAAATGTTATTTTTTAATCATATTTAAAAAAAAATTATCTTTCATGGTCATCAGTTCCAGTACAGTAAAGATTTGAATCTATTACGCGTTTTTTTTTTTTGTATTTTTTTATATTTTCCTTTAATACTTAAGTACTAGGTAGTTAGTATGTAGGTTTGTATTATATAGTTAGCTGCTCTAAACAATTAAATAAATTAGAAAATAAATATTTATTTTCTTTATTTTGCCATTATAGTTATTTGCACTTTATTTACTCACTTGTTTTGTGAGAATGCATTAAAAATTTAATTGTTTAACAATATAATTGTACAAATGGTGACAAATGCACTTAACTAATATTGTCGTGGGAAATTGTATACGGTATTGTAGACTTTAAAAGTAAGATCTATAATATTTATAAAACTTAAACCCATTAACTTAACCGGCTATGGAGTAAATAGTACCAACTTGGTCATAACTATATACCAGTCCATAGCCTTGGTTACAAATCGGTCTATAGCCTTGACTATAGATCATTCTATAACCTTGGCTATAGATCAGTCTATGGTCTTGACTGCAGATCAGTCTATAATCTGGATTATAGATTAGTCTATATTCTTGACTATAGATCAGTCAATAGTCTTGACTATAGTTCAGTATATAATCTAATAATAGTCTTGACAATAGATCAGTGTATAGTCTTCACTATAGATCAGTCAATAGTCTTGACCATAAATCAGTCTATAGTATTGACTATAGATCAGTCTATAATCTGGACTATAGATCAGTCTACAGTCTTCACTATAGATCAGTCTATAGTCTTGACTATAGATCAATCTGTAGTCTTGACTATAGATCAGTCAATAGTCTTGACCATAGATCAGTCAATAGTCTTGACCATAGATCAGCCTATAGTATTGACTATAGATCAGTCTATAGTCTGGACTATAGATCAGTCTATAGTCTTCACTATAGTTTAGTATATAGGCTTGATAATGGTTCAGTATATAGTCTTGACAATAGATCAGTCTATAGTCTTCACTATAGATCAGTCTATAGTATTGACTATAGAACAGTCTATGGTCTGGACTATAGATCAGTCTATAGTCTTCACTATAGATCAGCCTATAGTCTTGATTATAGATCAGTCTATAGTCTTGACTATAGAACAGTCTATAGAGATCAATCTATAGTCTTGAATATATAACAGTCTTTAATATTGACTATAGATCAGTCTATAGTCTTGACTATAGATCAGTCTATAGTCTGGAGTATAGATCAGTCTATAGTCTTGACTATAGATCAGTCTATAGTCTTGACTATAGATCAGTCTATAGTCTGGAGTATAGATCAGTCTATAGTCTGGACTATAGATCAGTCTATAGTCTGGACTATAGATCAGTCTATAGTCTGAACTATAGATTAGTCTATAGTCTGGACTATAGATCAGTCTATAGTCTGGACTATAGATCAGTCTATAGTCTGGATTATAGATCAGTCTATAGTCTGGATTATAGATCAGTCTATAGTCTGGATTATAGATCAGTCTATAGTCTGGATTATAGATCAGTCTATAGTCTGGACTATAGTTCAGTCTATAGTCTGGACTATAGTTCAGTCTATAATCTTGACAATAAATCTGTCTATAGTTTTTACTATGGATCAGTCTATAGAATTGACTACTAGTCTATACTATTGACTGTATATCTGTATATAGTTTTGACTATTGATCAGCCTATAGTTTGGACTACATATCAGTTTATAGTTTTGACTATAGATCAATCTATAGAAGGAAATTCTTCGAATTCTTCGTTCTATTCTTCTGTTGCCATTTTTGCCAAAGATCCTAATCATAGGCGCTGTGAAACGTAATTTTTAATTAAAAAATCGATTAAGTAGTAACTATTAAAAAATAAATATAATTTTTTAAAATCTTTATAATTTAAAAATTTTAATCAAATTTTTTTGCCAGAAATTAATTAAATATTTGTTTTGTTTAATTACTTTGCAAATTAATAGATTCTTGTCTAATTGATTAAGTATTTTTAAACAATTCATTGAAGCATCATACTAAAATAAACATTATGGTTAAAAAGTTGTTATTTTAAGAACTTTTAAAGTGTTTACTTTAAAGTTGTTTATATTACGAGGTTGAGGAGTAAATAATTTTTATTATTTAATTTTTCTTGTTGTGTTGAAAAAAAATCTCTAATGAAACAGAACTATTTCAAACAATTTTATATTAGATGTTATAAGATTATTAGAGGGATTGATGTTAATTTAGATCAGATTTTAGTGACAACGTCAAGACATTAATATTTGAAACCAGTAGCCTAGCCACATCTGTCACCTGGGTCTAAAGGGATTCAGTTTCCAGCTAAATTGGATTTGCCCTGTTGTTGAAAAGATGTTCAATATTGTGTGAACCTATGACACACGCATGGTGTCGTGTATTCCCGACACTAGGAACACTAGGGGTCCGCGGACACCCATTAGCGAACATTTGGTCTAGTCTGCAGAATATTTTATATTCTAGTCTGTAGTTTAGTTTATATTCTAGTCTATTGTCAATTCCTTAGTGAAGTCTATAGTTTAGCCCATATTCAGGTCTTTAGTCTAGTCTATAGTTTGATCTATAGTATAGTCTTTAGTCTAGTCTAAAGTTTACCAATACGAGTTTAAACGAATACACCATCTACACTATAGCGGTGGGAATCTTTACAGTCTTCCACCGCTATTTATTATCCAGATGTTCATGGATGTCGCTCTCATTCAGGCGATGATCTTTACTGACAACCCGCTTAGATGGTGCGACACCTCCCATGACATTCCAGTAGGAAATACTTTGGTAGCTGAATAATCTAAAACTATAATAGCAAAAGAAGTATGTCAGAGTAAAACAAAAGCCTATACCTATATAATTCAGTTTGAATTATACAGTTGCTATCTGGGCTTTAAGTTGGTAAAACTTGCTTAAAGAGTATCGCGAAAGTAGATGATCAGCCGAAAAGGCACCATATTGAGTTTGACCTTGTAGATTATATAATATTACACTAATTTAACAAAAAGTTTTTCACTAACCACAAGTTAGTGTATTTATACTTATCATTATACTAACTATAGTTTTCTATTCTCATCTCTTTTTAGGCTTTGAATCTCATTGCATAAATATTTAAAAAATAATTTACGTTAAAAGAATTAAATGGTCAAACAAGAATTCTATTCAAATAAATGATGACTAAACACGAAGCTATTGAGCATGCGCAACAACAGCTTACTTTACAATTTCTACACGCTCAGCAGTAAGCTCGAGCTGACAAATAAATGGATACTGGAAGAGATTTGTTGTTGTTTTGCGTTAACAAGAGAGCATTAGGAGAATAAGATTTATAAATTATATAAACTGGAGCTAAGAGACAACAACAAAAACAGCAGCAACGATTTAATAAAAATATAAAAATAAGAAAAGACACGAAGACGGCAACAAGTTGAACGAAGACAAGATTAAAAAAAAATAACAAAAAAAGACGACGACTTTACAACAACTAGTCATCAACATTTATTTATATTTTTAAAACATTCCTGTTTGTTTTTGTTTTGTTTTGGATATTGTTTTTTTTTGCATGTAATACATCAAAAAGAAGACAAATTTGTTTATTCCACTACCAACGAAAGACCAGACGACAGACCATTGAATTGAGACCAGCAAAGTAGTAGTAGTAACCAGAAACTGCAAAAAGACAGCTCAAGATAGCGGAAACAATAAAAACAACCACTCGAAAGCAAAAACGAAGAGAATAACTCTCATCTATCTCAAAACAAAAAACCTGTGTTAAGCCATAATTATTTCAACAAAAAAAAATTCAATATTGATAAAAAAAAACTAACCAAAACACCAACTTGAACGACAGCTTCAGTTGGCAAAATACTCTTCTAACAACATCATACATCAAACACTGTGGAGCACCGTAACGTTCGGCATCACCATGGCTAGCAATATGCATAATACACGATTATTAAGATTCTTAATTGTCTTAACCATTGTCGTCTTAACCATTTTCATCTATACCTCATATTCATCGACACAAACTTTAACGCCGCCACCAATGCGCAGTGCTGCTTCACTGGTGGCCCTTTATCCATCACAAATAAATCGCAGTAGCAACACAAATGAACTGGATTCAAGTGCAGCTAATAATTATGATTCAAATAGTAAAGTTCCAAATGCAAATACAATAGATGCCGCCCATAAATCATTTATATATCATGCTAATTTACCTCATCCCTCGTTGGGTGGTTCACATGGTAATGAAATGGTTTTCATAAAGAAATTAATTCACCATCGAGAACCAACAATAGATATTAATGCTATCGATGATGGAGGTGGTGGAAATGAGGCTGGTTTAGATGGTCAAGGTTCGGAGGGTAGAGCATTGGCAAACGCTGGTGTTGATGAGAATGCTGCCGATGAATTGGCCTTGGAGCGTTTTAATAACAACAACGATTTATTGCAGGAGGAGCAGTACGTCCAAGCGGTTGATAATACTTTGGGTGAGTGGGTGAGGGTGAGATAAATAAATAAATAGATAGATAAATAGATAGATAGATAGATAGATAGATAGATAGATAGATAGATAGATAGATAGATAGATAGATAGATAGATAGATAGATAGATAGATAGATAGATAGATAGATAGATAGATAGATAGATAGATAGATAGATAGATAGATAGATAGATAGATAGATAGATAGATAGATAGATAGATAGATAGATAGATAGATAGATAGATAGATAGATAGATAGATAGATAGATAGATAGATAGATAGATAGATAGATAGATAGATAGATAGATAGATAGTTAGATAGTTAGATAGATAGATAGATAGATAGATAGATAGATAGATAGATAGATAGATAGATAGATAGATAGATAGATAGATAGATAGATAGATAGATAGATAGATAGATAGATAGATAGATAGATAGATAGATAGATAGATAGATAGATAGATAGATAGATAGATAGATAGATAGATAGATAGATAGATAGATATAGATATAGATAGATAGATAGATAGATAGATAGATAGATAGATAGATGATAGATAGATAGCTCGCTCGCTCGCTCGCTCGCTCGCTCGCTCGCTCGCTCGCTCGCTCGCTCGCTCGCTCGCTCGCTCGCTCGCTCGCTCGCTCGCTCGCTCGTTCGCTCGTTCGCTCGTTCGCTCGCTCGCTCGCTCGCTCGCTCGCCTCGCTCGCTCGCTCGCTCGCTCGCTCGCTCGCTCGCTCGCTCGCTCGCTCGCTCGCTAGCTCAGCTCGCTCGCTCGCTCGCTCGCTCGCTCGCTCGCTCGCTCGCTCGCTCGCTCGCATCGCTCGCTCGCTCGCTCGCTAGCTCGCTCGCTCGATCGATAGTTTGAAAGGAGACTGTGTGCTACCTCCGACCTGAAGAAATATACCTCGGCCTAGTAACTTCCCGTTGCTGTTGTGCTATGCATTCTTAGTAAATACTTAGTTATTTACAGATATCGGTCGAAATTGATACCGAATATTGGACAAATTAATGTATTAGAAATTCTGTTTCTAAATGATTAAAGTTTTAAACATGACGTTTTTTTTTTCAATTTTTTCGAATTACCTCATACGTAGTCGAGTAAAATTTATCATCATTTTCCAGATAATTAGAAGAGATTTAGTATATTTCAATTTCGATATCGAAATGTGTTCGAAGCGAATGCTAATACGTTAAATAGGCTCCTAGTATTTGATCTAATTCGATAGCAAATTTTTTATCGAGATCTAGTTTATTATAATAATAGCAGTCTATCTGGAAACAACCAGAATTTCGTCAAAGAGAAGTTTCATCTGATGAATTAGATGATGGCGTTAAGATCAGATAAGCACTAGTCTAGTAAGCATTATCTAACTTAATAGTACCGGAATATCTTTACACATGATGTAGATATATGCGCCTGCTATGAGCTTTAATAAAGGATTCATTCGCTATGTAGGCGTGTTTCCAATTAGTTAATTCATGAGGTGTTTCCAACGTTTTTTAAATGAAAATAATATCTATGATACCTTGGTTTCGTGTGACAATAATAAAGACCATTTTAAACAAACCCAACGATTCGAGATCATAACAGGATCTCAAGCGCTACGAGGGCACGAGTATTAATGTTTCTAGATTTACGATATCAATGTTTACAGGATACACAAAATCATCTTAATGATGATGATATAGGAGAGAGAAAATTTTACAAATTCTAACCTAACTGGTTTGAACTAGATTTAATTGAATCTCAAAGAAATGTTATTGATCTTTCAAATACTAAACACACTTCATGCAACAACTTAATACAATTTAATAATCAAATTTCCATAGAAAACAAATTACATAAATAATACCCAAAAAAGCAAATATTATAATAAGCTTAATAAAAACTACTTTTTCAAAAAATCATTTCAGGAAATATCAACAATTCAGTAACATCCGCAGCAAGTGGTGTTGGTACCGGTGGCTTAGCGTCATCGGATACCAATCAACAATTAAAACAACAGCATCATGATCAACTGCCGCCGCAGCAACAAGATCAACAAATTACTGCTGATACAAATAACAGCAACAACAACAACAATAACAATCTAAATAAAATACCAGAATCTGATGTTTTAATACCCACATCAAACCTACAAAAATTCATAGAAAGTGCTGATAAGATATTAAAAAATATCACTATTGTTCAACAACAACAACCCCCTTCTTCGGTGGCACCCGCTGACAATGTTAATAAATGTAAGTACATTTACTTATTTCTAAATACATATTTATATTTCTTATAAGAACATACACTAAAACATACATACGTAAGTGATAGTAACTAGTACTTTCTTACTTATGTTTGTATAATTTAACTTGTTTTCTTTATTATTATATCATACAATGGTGTTCGTTTAAATAGCAGTAGTCAGCTAATTTAGTGCTGCAAGTGAAATTCAAATGTTTTTGATGATTAAAGGAAATTCATAGTTTTCAAGGCTGTCTTTGTTTTGAATATTAGATAAGATTTGTAGCACGTAGCATTTGTAAATAATGAAAGCAACAGATGCTTTAGTATTACCCTCATTCCTTTATATATGTATAGATATTATAGAATGCATTCTTTCAAAGATTTTCTTGGCTACACCATTCCAAGTATAAAGTACATTTCAAAAAGTCCAATGTGTTCAGTTATTCACCACGCATATCCTCCTTGTGCAATTTGTAAATGACCGGTATGATGTGAATGTTTCTTCCAAAGTCCGAAGCGCTGTAACATTTCCACTACCTTTTCACTCTCCAGACTTTATAACGTTTCACAAATAGCAATGAAAAGATGTCGGAGAGCTTTACGTTAACACCTGCCTTGAAGGCCTAATTTCACGGTGTTTTTTTTTTCATCCACAAGGTGAGGTTATCCGACGACTCACCACCGCCCCTTCTTGTATCTTACAAACCGGTGGGAATTTTGTTAGCACTTTGCTCAAGTACTCGAGCTATCTAAACTCTGACCATTGCTAGACCCGTTACTTAACTTCCGAGATGTAAGAGCATCACTTACGTTTACAACCACGCAGATGGGATGGGCTCTGTTGAGTCGGCAACAGTAACTAGAGACGTAATCGGTAGACCGAAACCCGTATCCATCAAATAAGCCAAGGACTAGATCTTACTCACAGAGAACACACTGTGGTAAATCTGGTATGAACAAAGTAAACCCTAAACAAGCCCAGACAAGGAAGAAAAATTCAATGGTATCATTTATATAAGATACCTACTTCCATCACCAATCAACCCAACACACTACTCATTCATTCGAAACACTCACTCTCGGAATACGGATGGAGTAAGGCCCCATGCCCCTACATCCATCCCGTAACATATATACACTTAAAACTAACTCATTTCCAACGTTTAGGCTCATAGTCACTCCTCTGTGGGGTATCTGTGATCTCGGCAACAGCACCGAAGACTTTACCGTGCATCAGTGTTTTAACCAACTTTCTCTTCCCACAAATTTGATTTTAAATAACCGAGACAACACAAAATCCGATACTCTGCTACCGGTTCCCGTGGTGCCAGATTATGTGGTTCTCTGGTTCGACCGCATGTCCAATCATTCCAAGGAAAAAAGCGATAATGCATTTGATGGTCACTAGTTTATAGTCCCAGCAAACTATAGGTACTGGTACTACCACTTTTCCCCGGTATTGCAATAACACCAATATGGGGGAAGATTCATCAAGGTAATAGGTTATATACCCCCGGGGGTAAACAGCAATGGAAAGTACAACTTCTGTACATTCCCACGACAATTGGATGTTCGCAACGTCAAGAGTCATACTCGGCCAATGATTAAAAACTCAGCGACAGCTGTACCAATTGAAGGTTTCTTCCCCAGGAATAAACTATCGGTCACAGTCGAACTATTACAACAAAAACAACTCCTATATATACAAAAAAAGGCTCAATTCCGACACTTGTGGTCTGACCTAACCTATCTGATGACACGGAAACCGGGCATTGTTTCGGAATATGTCTTGTGCCGTTGCTGTTTTGTGCACTTGATATCTGTGGTTGAAACTTAAATCGCGGGAAAAGAATATTGTTTTAAGATTAAAGTTTGGTATAGATTATGTTCGGAGTTTTCTCAGGAAACTTTACCCTGATTGAATTCTGAGCGATGTTTTGTCTTATATATAGAGATGCTCTTGCCGAATCAACATCCTCATGAGATTCTTTACTGCAAAAGGTCCAGCTACCGCAAACAAGGTTTCTTTATGTAGCCAAGAATACCTGAAAGGTTGATACAATCTGACATAAACAATTGATTACAGAGGATCCTACCACGCCTCTTTAGAAGTTCCTTCAAGCTCCCCTTTTCGCATTTCATGCTAGTTTTTTAAAGTGACCCTATGACTGTAGTCCATTATCGTGTCCTATGATTGTATACCATCAGGGAGGTATGGATTTACCTCTCTTAAAACTGTACAGATTCCCTACGCCAAATCGTAATGAGTCTAAACATTCTTAATAAAGTTAATCATTTTAATCGTTTCATATAAATAGAAGGAATAAAGGTATAAGAACTATTTTGTTCGTATCTATTTATGTGCTCCCAACTGTTTATATGATTCAATTTAACATAATGTTAAACATCTTCAAAAGTATGTTTACTTTATGGATATAAAAAAAGAACGAAATATTCCATTCATTCTATATGATTTTACGACAAGTAGGCTACAACAATTTTCTCCCATAATATTTGTTATTTTAATTAAATTTGTCCAGAAGTTGTTCTATTTTAAATATTTTCTTTAACGTATTATGCGGTTAAGTTTTAAATTTGTTTATATATTTAGTTAGCACAGTAGCCTAAGAAAAGATGTACATACATATGTATGTAAGTGCTGTTGATTTATCATAGTATTAGTAACATTATATTATTTTAGTAAAACATACTGTAGATTTCCAGCAATACGACCTAAATCTTAAATTAATTGCTAATGAGGCCTATAGAAAGAACATTTCTCGAATGACGTAGTTTCGTTTATTATTTAATTTCGCATTATAATTATTTTTTTAACCTAACTTATGAGACATCTGTTACTTTTTTTTTGCCTCGTTACTAAGATTTCGCTATTTACGCTATAACCAGTTCTTATCTTTCAAAATACAAATATTTGTTGGATAAAAAGTGTTGTTATATTCTGAATTTTACCGCAAGTTATAAATTTGTTTTATTTCACTTCCGTTTTGTTTTTGGTTCTTTTATGATCAACAATAAAACATTATTTGAGTTTCAAATATATGTTTAGTTTATTTACCATCGCCTTATAATTTCTTTTTGTTGTGGAGTCACCTAATGAGACTATAACTAGGGAGCGTTAAAAACTTTTTAAAGTTTTTTTTTAAATTATAGTAACGATAAGTAGGTATGATTTATATAGTCATTCACAAGTGCTTATTAGGGTGTTACTCTTTATATAGAGCCAAGCATAATTTTTGATTTTCTCAACTAAAATTTACTTCATCACTTGCTTGATGTTAATCAGATGGTATCCAGACTTAAGCACAATTAAGAGTTTAATTCATTCAGCACTTGAGATTCATGTTTCCCGCTATTTACAAATTTGTAATAAATAGGATTCCGAATTATTGTTTAGCCGATTTACTATCTTATTAGGACCTTGTAATACATCCGAGTGGAACTTAAGTCGTTAATATTAACTTTCAAGAAATGTCAGGTTCCTATGACCTAGAACCCTATGAGATAGAAGCTTTTAGTTCCCCCAAATACAGAGGATTCCAAAAGGGCCATGGATATTTGGCTTTGGTATCGATTTATCTGGTTGTTGGGGCTTTACATGCGATCTCATATGGTTCGAATTACCGCAAGTAATGATTTGATGCGAAAATTGATGTTTTTATTGCGTTCAAGCAGCAAATTTCCCAGCTTTACGATGAATCCTGCTGCTCGGAAACATTTTGAAATTGCGTAGCTCTGAATGATTTTGCAAGGTCTATTTGAGTTTGACGACAATCTTCATGAATTATTCAAAAATTATCAGTCTGGAACTCTATTGTCCATATTTCATAGTAGCGCTAGTTTTAACTAACTTTTGTGAAGTTGCGGTGAGTTTATATTTTAACTTTACGGTGTTTTGACAATTTTTCTCTAAACTTTATGAACGACTAGCTACCATTCCAAGAGTTTGGGATCCATTTCTTTGTTTGATTGAGACTAGTAGATTGCTAAATATTCGGAATAAGACTAGATCCATATATATCGTTAATTCTTAAAGCCCTATTAAAATCTGAGTAGCGATTAATGCTTCTGTTAAACCCTTGTTTTGGACTGGATACTGTTAGAAGGTAACATAGCTGTGGGAATAGCTTCAATAGTCTCCGCTTCAGTGATTCTTTCTTCAGGACATTCTGGTCTTGGGGACATTCTGGTACGTAGAACCATCTGTCGTAGGAATCATTCGGTCGGTCTCGGACTACAGTTCATTTACATTGTTCAAAGCTGTTAAACTCGCTATTTTGAGCACAGATTAATGAACATATTACTGGTACAATGGAATCAATGCTATTTATATTTACAACATTGATGACAGTCAGTGGTTGAAGTTGAGAAAACCTCTTCGGCAACTCTTAAGTATACTTTCACGAACCTTAATGGTATTCATTCGTGGCATCTGTAGCCATTCATGTTTTTGGAGACCGCCATTTGATGCAACGTATGCGGAGGGTGTGTGTTTAATTAGGACCCTTTAGCACTTGTTGCCATTAATGACATCGAAAGCGTACAAGGGTATAGACAATCAATGGAATGATGTTCTGGAGGAGAATCCTACATCAGATCTTAGTAATTGGAGTATCTTAACAAATGACATGCCGACAGAAACTGGCCCCCTTAATGCAACCGTTTGCCCTTCATACCGCATTATTTTGGACCATTTGTGTCACAAAGTCGTCTTACTAATGATTTTAAGTCAATTGCTGTCGTTTTCTAAGGGGGATTGTGTATAAAGCCAAATCGGACGGTCCGGTTTTCAATAGTCCTTGGGACAAAAAACACTTATTTTCCAAATTTCATCAAAATATTGAACAGACGTACGGACATATCTCAATATCTCAATAACCTCAGAAAGGCCAATATTTTGTGTGCGTTACAAACATCAACATAAACTAATAATACCCTTCCCACCATGGTGGTGTAGGCTATAAATATGTTCATATCCATAGCTGTATAACTGTTCTTTAATCGCTAAATTTCTTTTATTCTCCTTTTAGCTGCCGATAAAGATGAGATACCACAACCACCTTTGGTCGATGCGCCAAATGAGACCAAGCAATTAGTGGAAGATGAGGAAAACGATGAAGCTTTACCGCCCTCCGTTATAATGACCATAAAAGGAGCTGGCGGAGCAACAGTGGAAAAAACTAATGAACCCAAACAAGCACCAGCAGCAGCGTCATCAACATCAAATGTACCCAAAGTTACATCCACCACAAAAAAAGTACCAAAAGTTGCTGCCGCCGATCCCACACAAGGCATACCAACAAAACAAATTTACGAATCGGGTCATATGAATGAAGAAATCGATATTAATCAAATCTGTCCGAATAAAGGTGACAAATTGAAATTATTAATACTCATAACATCTGCCCAAACTCATGCCGAAGCAAGATTGGGCATAAGACAGACCTGGGGTCATTACGGTACACGACGAGATGTATCCACCGCTTTTATACTAGGACGCACTACAAACGCCACCGTTAGTGAGGCATTGACTCAGGAAAATATGATTTATGGCGATTTAATAAGAGGCCATTTTATTGATTCCTATAATAATTTGACTTTAAAAACTTTATCCTCCCTGGAGTGGGTAGATCAAAATTGTCCCAAGGTCAAGTATATACTGAAAACGGACGATGATATGTTTATAAATGTACCAAAACTTTTACAATTTCTCGATGCTCATGCTAAAGATAAGCGTGTAATTTATGGTAGATTAGCGAAAAAATGGAAACCGATACGCAATAAAAAATCAAAATATTACATATCGACGGGACAATTTGGTGCTACCGTTTTTCCACCCTTTACCACGGGTCCAGCATATGTCATGACCGGTGACATAGTACACGAACTGTATGAGAGTTCCCTAGAGCAGCTCTACTTAAAACTAGAGGATGTCTTTACCACTGGCATAGTGGCCCAGAAATTGGGTGTCAAAAGAGTACATGACAATATGTTCTTAAATCGACGTATTGCTTTCAATCCCTGTAATATACGCAAAGCAATCTCAGTCCATATGATTAAACCCAATGAACAGTTTGATTTGTGGAAAAAACTACTGGATCAGACCACAAAATGTAAATAGTATTTTAGTTTAAGAATATTTTAAATAACTTACACACATACACACTTTATATATAGAAAAAAAAAAACATAGAAACGATTATATATATTTGTAAGTATTGAAAGAATTGAAATGAATATAAAAAAAAACACTCACTTTATAGAAATTAAGTCAAAAAGAGATTTGAAAACAGAACATAATAAAAGTTTAACTTTAGTTAATTTTTAAAACTCATAATTGTGTATATTTTTTAAGCCATTTAATGTATAATTAGTAACAACTAAAACTATAAACTAAACTATTAATGTAATTCAAATTATTATATTTAGCAAAACATTAAAAAAAAACAAACTGAAATGTTATGATATTTTATATGTATTTTTTTTTAAAAATAAGTCTTACAACTATTATTCTTAAAAATTTATTTAAACTTTTGTAGTTTTTAGTTGAAATTTTTCTTTTTTTTTATATAGAAAATAATGAAAGAAAAAGAAATATTGATATTTAAATGCAATAATTTTATTTATTAAAATTAAAAACACAATCTTAAAAAGACATTTTTGGAAAATATTTTTTATTTAAGTTTTTTTTTTTGTAGAACATGTTTTATTAAAATTTTTAAAAGAATTTTTTTGAATTTTGTTTTACATGTTTTCATAATGGAGAGTTAAAATGGAAATAAAAACAAGAGATTTAATATCAAAAGTGTTGAAATTGATCAGTAATTTCCTATCCAAGGTTCTTGAAGCGTTTCTTTTAGTCCCGCAAGAGCAAATGCCCACCCCAGGCTTTCCGCGGAGGATCCAGTTTCCTCAGACAAGGCTTTGACGTCCGGACAAAAGACGGTATAACGTTTCGAACATCTTGTTATGATGTAAATGATTAGCAACAAGCAAGTTTGGGGACTACTACACAACTAACACAAGATAGCAGCCCTTGGCCGAATAATTTGGGCCATTGCGGTACGTAGAACTAGCTGTCGGGGAATGTCCAACGTCCACCATCAGCAGCTGTTCGCTTTATACCTGCGGGTCAAATATCCGTAGTGCGACCGCACTTCCCAGCAAAGGCAGCCAGGCTAGCAGATAAAAGAGATGACATCCGAAATACCAACCCAGGTGATCCAAAACTCGCCCAGATGAACTTGAAATCAGCAGGTTAGTAAATGAGTATAAACGGAAGAGATGGCTGGATCACTTGAAGAACTACAACTTGAGTTCGGGTGTTGTTGTTGTTGTAACAGTTCGACTGTGACCGATAGTTCTTTCCTGGGGAAAAACTTTCGGTTGATACAGCTGTCGCTGGATTGACAATCTTTGGCCGAGTATGAATCGGTTCGTTCCGGAGCGAAGATCCAATTGTCGTGGGAACGACAATAAGTTATGGCTTACGGTTCGAACTCTCTCCAACCCAACGAAGAAGGATGACAGGATCGCTACTAAGTTTGCAGACATCTCCTTTTCCGTCCATGAAGGGTGCGTGGATGTGATTTCATATGCGGACGACTGTACAATCATGGCTACGGGCCACAACATTGATGAATTATGCGTTCTGGTAAATGTATATCTCAACGAAATACATCAGTTCTTCAATGCGCGAAGCCTGCAACTATTACCAGCAAGATCGTCAGCAACACTTTTAACCACCTGGACGAAGAAACTTAACCCTTGGCATCGTGATCGATGGAATCCAAATTCCGATCGTTCACCACGCACAAATCTTGATAGCCTCTTTACTTGCTCATCTCATGCCACTGCAATCACGCACAAATTGCAAAGTGGAAACAAAGTCCTCAAAGCGCTAGCCGGCAGCACTTGGGGTATGGTTAAAGAAACCTTGTTAGCTACATATAAAACGATTGGCCGGTCAGTGGTTAATTATGCTGTTCCAGTGTGGTCACCTTCTCTCAGTGATACCCAATGGAGAAACATTCAAAGCTGCCAAAATGCTGCCCTAAGGACTGTCGCGGGCAGCATGAAAATTACTTCGGAACATCATCTGCACAAGGAAGCGAAGGTCCTCGTACTCAAGGAACACAATGCCAGTTCCTCCTGAGATGTCAGGAAGGATCTTCGTATATACGAGCAGAACATACGCAGATCAGCTCTAGTATACAGCAGCTTTGAACGACATTCAAAGAGACGCCATCAATTCTGTGGTCGCAGAATACCGCATGAATATCGTACTTGGAGGTCGCCCACCGCCCAAAGCAGACACAGAAGAAAACCCGCCACTGAAAACAAGAGTAATTCTGCCACAACTAATATCGGGATGGAGGAACAGGCTTAATGCCTACTGGTCACGCATAGACCGTGCCGTCTCCAACGAATGTCCGGCATGTGGTCAAGGTCCTCATGACACCCACCATATATTCAACTGCTCAGCCAACCCAACTTTACTTTGTCTAATGGATTTATGGACACATCCAGAGGAAGTCTGCACAGTGTATGTTGAATAAAGCTGAAAGATCCAGCAACATACGATTGTTGATCAAGGCCTGGATATTGATGTAGAACCCCCCTACAATATTATTGTATAATTTTAGCTGTTAAAACAACAACATTAGATCAATTCCCAGATGAAATTGAACGATTATGGGCAAGTTTATTAATGCTTGAAAAACTACTGTAGTTCAGGTTCCGTAGTTGATCAGACCAGAACTCTCGATTGATATTTCTATGGATTCATCGACTATTTGTTCATGATAGCAAGGGAAAACTCTTTAAGGGATTCAATACCGAAAGTATTGAAATTAACTGAAATTGAAGAGTAGCTCGCAACAAATATGAATATAAAGAATACCCTCTCTCTCTAGCCAAATGACTAACACTACGAAGACTACACTACATAGATTCGTTTCAGTGTTACTGCATTCGTTAACTGAAGTATTAACATTTACCATTCGCGGAATTGCCAGTCTGCGCTGTGTATGTTGGATGAAGCTGAAAGATCCAGCAACATACGATTGTTGATCGATCGCTTGTTTCGAACTATGCAAACGTTTATGGGTAAGTTCATTTATCCTAGAGAAACTCCACGGTAGTTCAGGTCGCGTAGTGGATCAGAGCAGAACTTCTGGTTAGCTAACGCAGTTATCATTATGCAAGGTAGAGATGATGTATTCGTCGACTTGTTTCACCAGTAACGCAACTCTCTGGTGATTAGATACCGAAAGTATAAAAATATACCATTCGCGAAATTGCCAGTCCGTTCAATATACGATCGTTTGATTCTTCAAAGTCTGCTTTCAAAGTCGTTGACTCGGTGTAAGAAAAAAAGTTATGGGTAAATGGATTTGTCCTAAACATTCTAAGAAGCAGTACCATTCTGCTTTCTTTTTATTAATCTATCGTTTAGAAACGATAAAGTTATTGTGTCAATCTAGGCACGCGTTTATGGGTAAGTGGACTTATCCCAGAGAAACTACTTGGTGGTTCATGTTGCGTGGGTGTCTGATCAAAACTTGCTATTGTTACGCTAGATATTTCAGTACCGTGAAAGAGGGCATGGATTTGACGATTCGTTCCGCTAGTAACGCTCCTCTCTGGTATTCACCTAGGTTAGAGTACCAGAGCTGATGATGCATGTTAAGGTCCCAAACAGAATTAGGATGGTAAGATATTATACGGTTGTTATTGTAATAGCTTAAACTATACAATAACGTAATCAGTTTTGCATCGTTCTTCGATCCTGTACAAAGTGAAGTAGGATTGGCAGAGCATTTGCGAAGGTGGTATTGATGAGGTCACCGTGCATGAAGCTTTTTACGATATTACCGTATACTATGTCTGATCCAATGGATCCTGTTTTTTCGTATACACTCAAAGGTCCTTCCTCAAATGCTTTGGGAGTTTATCCAATTGTGTGTTCGGTTGGTTTCAGGACGAAGTTTATTAGTTTTGATCTAATTACACCTAGGAAGGATTCTACTAATTACATAACATCGCCTCGCAACTAATACGAAAATAAAGAATCTTCCCTCTCTCTCTCTCTCATCTAATGACTAACACTATGGAGTTCTTCTCATCCTGGAAGCTGGAATTAATATATAAAAAGTTAAAAATATTCACTTTCGCATTTCGTTCCTTTCCAATCTGGTTAAGCCTTCAGTCGTTCGAATCTTTACATGGAATCTCAAATGAAGTAGAAAACGAATTCATAATGTACATTTAGCTTAAACCAGGGCCCAAATTATTGCATACGATATCGATCGAAATCTCCATCTATTGAGATTTCTATCGATATCGTATGCCGTAATTTGGGCCCAGGTGAATTTTATAACTATCTTAATTTAATTTTCTATGGAATTCCGATCGTTATCAAATTCCTAAATGTTTTGAAAAGTGTTAGAGATTCACGCTCCAATCGGCAAGATTTCCTACACAAAAGATCTTGATCGATTGGTGAAACCTTTGTCAGGCGTAGCTGATGTTGAGTTTCCTTTTAATAACAGTTTAACAAACTTGTTTCCTCTGAAAATTTAGGATATACTGCTTGTTCCATTTCTGCTTTTCCTCAATTACCGCCAGGACCGGACAGACCATGATGGATAAAGTGAATAACAATCTCTTCTCCGTTGTGAGAACTTCTACAGCAGTCGTAGTGTGAGAGTTTAACACGAATGGCCGTGACTGTAATACCAATATCTTTTCTTGGTCTTGTCAGGGAATTCGCAATAAAACTTCCAGTTACATGTTCATCATTTTATATTCAAAAGAGTACCAGTTTCGGAATGTTTATCCCTTAAATTCGAGTTCAATTGAGCTATTGGTATGCCTATAACAAGTTTACTCCAAGACAACAATGGTCTTGTCGGGGAATCCTCTATAAAACGTCCAGATATCTGTTGATGATCTATTATCCAAAAGAGTCCCAGTGGGAATATCTGTGGTACCATCTATAAGGTGGGTCGTATAATAGAGTTGTAACAAATACGTTGTTATCAAAAGTTTTAGCCTTAATATGGCAAAGATGTCGACAATTGTCATTAACCGAGTAGTTAAAATGACACACACTAATAAAACATGCAAATCATGTTCATCCTACTGCTGACGATCTACTGATATAAAGAGAATTTCTTGTATTTCATAGTTTTGACTCCATTTTTAGAAAAATACTCTTAAGAATCTCTAAAGCAAAGTAATTTTGA